TAGTATTAGGAAGTGACAGAAGTGGGAGGGACGTGAACGTTCAGAGGCAGAATTAGTCCCACTGTCCAGAGACACCACTGTTGTTGTACCCCCTGCTGTTGTGCCTGAAAATGAGCCAGTCCTCTCTTCACATCCATCTGCAGACTAGCTCTCTAGGAAAGAGCTTGGGAGCTAGGATTATAGCTACTTCTTTCTTTTTGAGGAGCATTTCTTTGATTTCCTGACCACCTGGGTAGAAGTAGTCGATGGTGTTATCTTTTTCAATAAAACTTTGTAATGAAATCCCATCTTCTCCAGTATATGTGTTTTGTGGTATTTGCTTCCCGTGATAAGTCACAGAGTTAGTTCTAAATTACACAGAGAGAGTTCCTGTCTAAGCTTGACTCAGGTGTTTACTGGTTGTGGCCCTGCCAATAATTCCAACAGGAGCTGGCCAATAACAAACGTCCGTTTTAAATGGAAAGCAAATGCACTTGGTTGGAAGGGAGTCCTGGTGCGAAGATGGAGAACAGTGCCGTCCCCCCTTTCCTCCCCAGTCAAAAAAATAAATAATCTTGCTGCTCTCTGGGCAAAAAGAGAATAGTTTCAATAGCACAGCCCCAAATAAATATTTTCCAACTTCGGAATTGAGGGAGCTGGCAGACAGTTGATAGGGTTGTGGTGTCACATTTTTTCTGTGTGCCTCTTTGAAAATCAGATGCAATATAAAATAAGTGAGTTCACACAGTTTTATGTACAGCAGTGTTGTAATTGATTTAGCCCATTTGTCACATGTAAATGGGTGGTGGTTTACTTCAGTCATTGCTTTAAGAATCCCTGAGAAAGGTCCTGTGGAATGACACCCCAGCAGTTTCCGAACTGCTTGGGCTTCCAGTTAGTGACTGAATTGAAAAATTACAAGACTGGCACATACTGCCATGGAAATGTGTGATGTATTTTTTTACAACAAGAAATCCCTGCTTGGCAGTTCTGAGACTGTAAATATACCTGCCTAGAATTTGCTGAAAGATTGCTGTAAGGCTTCAGCAGGCTGGGATACTTTGCTGCTTACATGGCTAAAAACTCCTACACAGTTTAAGCTGCAGCACTAAAATCCAGAAATGTCCTGTTGCTCTGTGACCCAAAATGTCATAGATTAGGTCATCTTTGCTTGAGCTGTAAGTTTGTTAATGCAGTTTTATGTATTTGATAAGACCTTAGGTTGAGGAGTGTTAGGAAGGGATTTTGAATTAACAGAAGCAAGGAAAGGAGCAGAAGCCAAATGGGGAGTTTGGAATGTTATACATTACTTTATGCCTCTTTATTACAGTACTTGAAGGTACATGTAACAATAGATTAAGTTGAACTTTTGTTGGCTTATTATTTTGTTAGTATTGTTGTGCTATAACTCAATGAATGTTTTGTGGATCTTTGAGCCAGTTTTGGGCAAGAAAAAGAATGATTTTGTGTCTGAAGCACAAGACTCGGGGTATGTCTACACCAGAAACTTAAGTTGACCTATATTAGGTTGACTTACAGCCACCGCAGTAATTGCTATGGTAGCTCATGTCCATGCTACCCTCCCTGAGTCGGTAGTGCACGTCCTCAGTAGGGCCGCTTCCACCGACCTAAGAGGGGCAGTTGGCGGGGAGCTGAGAGCCTGGTCTCTCACCTCCTGGCTGCCTCACAGGCTCCTGATGGGCTGACCCCTCCCTTGCCTACCCATTCCCCTCCAGGAGCAGGGGAGGGATGGGTGGCAGCTGCCTGGGGTTTCTCTGCCTCTCTTCATTCCCCATCAGCCAGGCAACCTTGTCAATTTCAGGCTCCAGAAGCCCTGAAATTGACAAGACAGCCAGTGTTCCCACAGGCTCCAGCTCTCCATAGAAGGGGTGGAGGGGGCAGCTGGGCTCTAGCTGCTCCCCTTTCTTGTCAATTTCACCGCAGGAGCCCTGAAATTGACAAGACAGTCAACAGCCTATATAAGTAAAGCAGTATTTACACAGACACTGGGTCACCCTAACTACACTGACATAAGCCCTACGCCTCTCATGGAGGTAGAATTGTTGTGTTGGGGTAGTAGGGCACTTACATCTGCGGGAACAAGGCTGTAGTGTAGACACAGGAATAATTAGGGGGATAATTAGATTGAGGTAAGGTGCCTAACTGTGTAGCGTAGACCAGGCCTAGGTTCTATGCAACAGATTTTCTACCTGATTATAAAAAAGTCACTAAATTGTTGTGCTTCAGTGTCCTCATCTTTAAATTGGGTATAATAGCTGCTTTACAGGGGAGTTGTTAGGATTAATACATTTGTGAAGACTTTTGAGATCCTGGGACACAAGGCACTATGGAAATGCGGCCATCATCAGAAATCAAATGGAGTTGCTAAACAGTAGGTTTGGCGTTTATTCCATCTATTCTGAATCAAAGTTGGCACAGCATTCTAGTTGATAAATAGATGTCCTGAAGAGAGCTACTTAACATGTTAGTGGCATTAAGAAGCGTGCACCTAGAATGAGGGGGAGGGAGGGATTTCTTGTGGATGCATTGCATATGTGTTTACTGTAAACAATATAGCATGCAGTTCAACCTGTGAAGCAATCACTGAAGAAACCAACAAAAATTAGGTGGCTCTCTACTTCAAGTCAACAAAATTGTACTTGAAACCTTGACTACTTTTAAAATCTCCTCTTTGGGACAATGGGATCTTCTACTGGAGGTAGGCTTTAAAAAACAAACAAAAGACCCAAACCCTCTTTTTCCTGTGTTGGGCCATCTATTTGTTTTGGTATTTTTAAAGGACTTTGTTCCAATAGTAGTGCACAGTACCACAAGCACTGGGGGGATTGGGAGAAGGCACTTTTGAAAATAAAATTATTAAACCATTGTATTTGTCTAAACTTCAGCCTCCTGCTGTTTGGACTAGCCTTGATCTACATAGCTGGGCTTCCGCCTGGGACCTACTACGTGCATATCATGAAATGCTGTCAGAGGCATCTTACTTGTCTAGTCTGTTCTTGAAGGCAGTTGCATGTTTTTGTGCTGTTGTGGACTCTAAAAGAAGAGCTGTTTTCTGCTGCAGAAAACTGAGAGAGAGGGTTCACAGCCTTCCATTGTGGGCTGCTTTTGCCTTGTTCTATGCCAGTCAACCCACTCACCATGTGGATAAGAGTAGTATACTGCAGTTCCTTAAAGATCTCTTCTCTAGTATTAAATGCTGCTGGAGGCAGTGTGGCCTAACTGTTAGATCCAGGAGGCCAGACTTAATTGTGATTTCATGTTTGTAAAGGTTTCAGAGGAACAGACGTGTTAGTCTGTATTTGCAAAAAGAAAAGGAGTACTTGTGGCACCTTAGAGACTAACCAATTTATTTGAGCATGAGCTTTCGTGAGCTACAGCTCACTTCATCAGATGTATACCGTGGAAACTGCAGCAGACTTTATATACACACAGAGAATATGAAACAATACCTCCTCCCACCCCACTGTCCTGCTGGTAATAGCTTATCTAAAGTGATCATCAGGTGGGCCATTTCCAGCACAAATCCAGGTTTTCTCACCTTCCACCCCCCCACACAAATTCACTCTCCTGCTGGTGCTAGCCCATCCAAAGTGACAACTCTTTACATAATTAAGTCGGGCTATTTCCTGCATAGATCCAGGTTTTCTCACCTCCCCCCCACCCCCATATACACACAAACTCACTCTCCTGCTGGTAATAGCTCATCTAAACTGACCACTCTCCAAGTTTAAATCCAAGTTAAACCAGAACATCTGGGGGGGGGGGGGTAGGAAAAAACAAGAGGAAACAGGCTACCTTGCATAATGACTTAGCCACTCCCAGTCTCTATTTAAGCCTAAATTAATAGTATCCAATTTGCAAATGAATTCCAATTCAGCAGTTTCTCGCTGGAGTCTGGATTTGAAGTTTTTTTGTTTTAAGATAGCGACCTTCATGTCTGTGATTGCGTGACCAGAGAGATTGAAGTGTTCTCCGACTGGTTTATGAATGTTATAATTCTTGACATCTGATTTGTGTCCATTTATTCTTTTACGTAGAGACTGTCCAGTTTGACCAATGTACATGGCAGAGGGGCATTGCTGGCACATGATGGCATATATCACATTGGTGAATGTGCAGGTGAACGAGCCTCTGATAGTGTGGCTGATGTTATTAGGCCCTGTGATGGTGTCCCCTGAATAGATATGTGGGCACAATTGGCAACGGGCTTTGTTGCAAGGATAAGTTCCTGGGTTAGTGGTTCTGTTGTGTGGTATGTGGTTGTTGGTGAGTATTTGCTTCAGGTTGCGGGGCTGTCTGTAGGCAAGGACTGGCCTGTCTCCCAAGACTTGTGAGAGTGTTGGGTCATCCTTTAGGATAGGTTGTAGATCCTTAATAATGCGTTGGAGGGGTTTTAGTTGGGGGCTGAAGGTGACCGCTAGTGGCGTTCTGTTGTTTTCTTTGTTAGGCCTGTCCTGTAGTAGGTAACTTCTGGGAACTCTTCTGGCTCTATCAATCTGTTTCTTTACTTCTGCAGGTGGGTATTGTAGTTGTAAGAAAGCTTGACAGAGATCTTGTAGGTGTTTGTCTCTGTCTGAGGGGTTGGAGCAAATGCGGTTGTATCGCAGAGCTTGGCTGTAGACGATGGATCGTGTGGTGTGGTCAGGGTGAAAGCTGGAGGCATGCAGGTAGGAATAGCGGTCAGTAGGTTTCCGGTATAGGGTGGTGTTTATGTGGCCATTGTTTATTAGCACATGTTTGTAAAGCATTTCAAAATTGTTGGAACAAAAGTTCTATATAAATGCAGCTGCTGCTATCTTGAGTTAATTTGTCCCAACGCAATGATGTGTCAAATTAGTACAGTAAGACCTTTCAAAGCTGAGATTTTGTTCCTGTATTTTATTGTGAAGGATACTTTAACAGCAAAATAAATACAAAGCTGCATGAGGGAGCTGATGACTTGACACACAGTTCACTACTCCCAATTTTATTTCTTAATTCCTTTCCTCTTCTGCTTACAGATTCTCACAAACACAAAGATAAACACAAAGACCGAGAACACCGGCACAAAGAGCACAAGAAAGACAAGGAAAAAGACCGGGAAAAGTCTAAGCACAGCAATAGGTGAGGAAAATCAATTGCCAGGTCACTGTTGCCAAAACCTTTGCTCACCCACAGTCAAGGCTTCATAAGAAGAGTTAATGTGGTGATTAATATGCACAGTATTGCTATTTTTAAGTGTTTAAAAGAATGCTCACATATAAGTGCAGGTGTTCTTACATGTACAGGTTAATTCACATAATCTTAAAAATGGAGATCAGTGTTAATGTAAATTGGTGTAATAAAAAATCAGTTGAAGAAATAACTACTAACTGCCAAACTGTGCAAACTTTAGCTCAGTACTGTTGATACTTTTGGTTTTTTGTGGTACTGTGTGTGTATTCATTAACAAAAACATTACATTATGCATCTTAGAATTTCAGAAATGTCAGATATTTTTGTGCATTGTGGCCAAGTTCATATTGCAAACTTACTACTTGGTGTTCTTGTGATTATTTTTATTATTTAAGTTTATTTTTTTATAGTAAATATCTTACTACTTCATGTTCTGCTCGTTGCTCACATATTGGCACTGCATCAGTCTGTAGCGTCTCAACTTACTACTTAACACAGTTTCTTTTTGTGCATTCTTGGCTCTACATTTCCAAATGTTTTTCGCCTAAATTTAAAACCATCTTTTTTGCGAAGTTAACAAAGCACATGCCCTTCAATTACATCCTAATGTGTTTTCCATATTTGAAGTTTGAAAGCTCACTTTTATGTTTTGAGCTGCCTTCTCTTGGAGGGGGGAAGTGATTAAGATTTTTTTTTAAGTGGAAAAATCTTTCACCAATTCTAATTCTCAAACAGCTCATAACTATTGGTTTATATATTTTTTTTTTTTAAATAGCATTTGGGCAGCTTGAAGTTGAGCAAGTGGAATGGGTAGGTTATAATGGAGATACTGAAAGTGATTACTAGTAGAGACTGCTTCTTGGTCCTCTTGTGGGCGAGAAAAAAATTAAGCTCACATTGGGTCAGATTGATAGCTTTACTCACATTGTATAGTACCTCACTCCACATGTGTTTCCACTGAAGTCAGTGGGACTACTCATGATATATAGACTGTCTCTTGTGACTACAGGCATCACAGTCTGGCCCATTATGTCTAAAGCCTTCAGCACTCCTGCCTATGTAACTTGCTTGTCCTGAGGGCAATACTTCAAAGCTCTTGTGTCAAAAAAAAAAAAAAAAAATCGGTGAGTTCTTTAACAGGTACACATGCTGTACTTGCAGCCTGTGGTTTTGAAAAGCCTGGCACATCTGAGTGTGTACAACAAATTCTTGCTAGTTTTGGTGAATGGTTACCTAATATTGTTGACCTACCTCTCCTATGTACAAGTGGTCTGTGAGGCACCTAACTTCCCTTTTGCAGTTCACTTCTCCAGTTTGTGCACACAAGTTGCAGGTACATGTGCTTATGTGCATTTTCAGCCTTTTCAAAATATGTCCCTGAAGGTGAATATATTTGGCCTGTTGTATCAGTCAGTCGTGACTGCAGGCTGATATTCCTGGGATAATAACATTACACTCACATTAAGAACACTTCAGGACTTTTTTTTGAGGAGCAGTGAAAAAACACCACACTCTACCCCTGTCCACACTCAGTCATGCACGGCGTAGCAGCTGCTCGCTCTATCAAATAAAATGATTTTTAAAGCAGACATGACTGACTTGTGGAAACAACTGCCTTTTATTATGCAAAGTTTTCTTTCCCAAATTTTCTTATTAGTATTCACCAGTACAATTCCATAATATATACACCACCTATATAAAACCTTGATTAAATAATAATCCCCGACCTATAAAGTGCGCTCAAAATATGGGGCAGCAGTTTTAGAAGAAGGGGCACAGAGAGATCAGTGGTGAGGAAAACTATTGGGGGAAGATTCATGGAAATAAGAGATTTAAAAGAAGAGGGGGCATGGTGGATGAGAAGTGAGGAGACTTCCAATGGAGACATAACAGAAGGCATGAATCTAAGTGTGGGAGGAGGAGACACAGTAGAAAGGTCAGAGGACTGGGGGGGAATTGAGAAGCAAGATGATGAGTAGGGGGAGAAACCAGTGCAAAGATGTAGAGCTTCTTGGGTGAGGATGAGAAATTTTGAAGGGATCTGAAGGGATGAAAGTCAGCTAGAGAAGGGGATTCAAGGAAGAGGACAACAGGGTCAGAGCAGTGAGAGCAGAACATATAAAAACTCCTGAAGAAGTTGTAACTTTTCCCTGGAAACAAAAAATTCTTTCATATTGGAATTGTCATAATTTACCTCAAACTATGGTTATTTAAACAATGTTGACACTCTTGGTGATTTCTTTAAGTTTGATTTGGTGACTGGATGTGGACTGGCTGGGGCTCATTTTAAGTACCTTTCATTGTCCCTCTTACTATTACTGTTTTGAATATATCTGGTGCAACAGGTAGGTTTTGAAAATATTATTTTTAGGATAAACAGTCTGTTTAGAGACTGAAGCGGGGGGGGATGGGACTTATTCCCAGAAACTCATGAAGAAATGCTGCATTGCAAAATGGCCACCACTTCTCATTTTTCTATATTGGAGTGAAGCCAGGCTGCCCTTAGGGAAGATGGTAACCCTTCTGTTATCAGGATGTGGAAAAGAGCTGGTGAATGGTCCATTTTGGTCAAGGGAAGCCCATGACTTCAGTCCCATTGAGAACCATGGGAGATAGAATTCCCCAAAGAACTCTGAAGTAGTACATATGTGTCTGCCTGTGCTGAAGGAGAAACTTTACCTATGACGTATAACTGCAAACATAGCTATTAGTATTTTTTTTTAAAAAAATCGATTTTAGCTAATGCATGCGATTTCAGTGAGTGTTAAGTATATGGGGAGTTTGAAGAGTGTGTTGCTTTATTATTAAGATCATTAGGGACCAGAAAAGGTCTGACGCCTGGTGTGAAAATTAGAAATGGGTCCTTTAAGAAACTTAACTCAGACTAACAGAATTGCTTATAAATTCTCAGAAAATCCTTTCTGTACTCGGCTAAGTGCTGTAATCTTGTGGAGGACGTATGTATTTTGTATTTTTCATACATAAGAAGTGGAATACTTTCTTTCAGTGCAAAACTTAAGTCAGCCTTAACTATAGATTTGCCTTTAGCACCTCCATAATGTGTCATGTATAACACATTAATAGATGTTCCTTTTTCATAAGGGAGATGATGGGGGAGGCGGGGGGCCACAGACTAATCTCCCTGCTCCAAAAGGTACAATTTATAATTGAATGTGTGCAATTAGGAACAATTCCTGGTTGTAGAGGAAGCGGACCTATGCTCTCCATGTCTGTCTGTCTCTAATAATTTGCAACTCTATCATCTCTCTTAAACAAGGTTGTTTTATAAACTTCTGTCGAGGGCAAAAACATTCCCATGCATAAAAATAATTTCTATGTCTTGTCTTCGTGTGAGTGGGAGGTCGGATCATGGTTCTGAGCTGCCAAGTGATAAGTGCTTTAAAATACCTAAAATAGATAATCATGATCTCATGTGGTAGAAGAGTGCTGGCCTCGTATGCATAACTCTTCAATTTCACTTTCTGGTTTCATCCTCTCCCACTTACTAGATGACAGTTTTATATCCTAACCACTCAAGTACAGATGTAGTAAACTGGGGGAAAATAGCACTCTTGTACATTTCAGGGGTTTTTATTTATTTCTTTGCCCTGTTTAAAAATAAATAAATACAGCAAAGCCTACTTAAGCAAATTCTGTATCAAAGAATAGATCTACGTCAATGTATTGAGTAATACTCAGAAGTCTTTTTGTAAATAAATACCAGATAAAGGAATAATGAATACATTAAATATAGACTTCTTTGCCTGGAAAGGCAAAATGCAGTAAATTAATCTGTGATACATTGAAACCAGGTATTTCAAAGGTCATTTATCAAACAAAAAGACTTGGTAAAATAATGGGCCTTTTTGAATCAGAGCCTTTAACAGAGATCAGTTGTTGTGTTTTAATCTTGAAGTAACAAGAGATTCTTTCTTCCGTGTGTCTTGGGTTTTGTGCATGGAATGCAGGCTTTCTGTAAATTGAAGTCAGCAGAAAACTGGTACTGTGGTATATGGAGTGAAGAGACTCCCCACCCCCACATTGGCAGTACTGATCCAAATTGTCAGCATGACAAGTGTCGCAGCTTCAGAAAAATCCTCCTTCAGCTTGCATGTTCACTGTGGTTACAAAACGTCTCTTGCTATCTTCTGCGTTTGAACAAATGTTGAGGGTGTAGTAGGGATTATAGACCCAATTCTCAGTGGTGATTTATTGATTTTGTTTTGCCAAAAACAAGAATTGGGATGGGGAGAGGAGCTACTTGTCTCTCATACACAGGTAAATTCAGATAATGGAAAATTCTGGGGCTTCTCCCGTTTTCTTTACCATATTTTATGTGTTGTCTCCCAAGCTATTTATCTAAATGACAGAGGGAAGGAGAAGAGGGAGGAAATCTGGTTGGTCATCTGTAGATGTAGAGGAAAAAGGTCATTTGAAAATTTCCTTGTGCTTGCTGGGGGTGGAGGGGGAGACCGAAAAGGGTTGGCTCCCTCCCTGTGTCCACAATCGACCTTGGGTTGCTATCTGGTGGAAAAACTGACTTCTAGTAGTAAAACTGTTACTTTCCAGTAGTGCCTAGAATATGCATGCTCTGCCTGGTCTCAGTCCCAAAGAGCTTACATACTCATGAGGTTTCATTTTCATCTGTCTCCAACTGATGATTACAGCTCTGGCCTTCTGTTTTATTCCCAAAATACTGTGTTCACTAAGGACCTGATCCATTGTCTGTGGAAGTTCAGCAGGCATGGGATCGGTTTCTCATGAACTGGTAGCTCAGCTGTGTAATTTGGGCCCACACAGGCTTTTGCACCCACTTCTGCTCTGTGGTGGTGCATCTCTAACAATGAGAATACAAAACTGCAGGCCAGCTGAAAACTTGGCCTTTGCTAGTACAGTATTTATTGGTCTGAATGAAATCACAGCTTTCTAACAGCATTGCAGTAAGTCAG